CCCCCCCCATAAGCAGCACTGCACCACGGCAACAAGTAGGCCTACCGGTACGGTATGTTTGAGAACACACACACGCCACATCATGTCTCGCAGCTGTCAGGTACCGTAACTCTAAACATATTTCCAAACTTGTAGGAACACTTTTGTTTTCTCGGCTTTGGGCAGAAAACGTAGACAGCAGTCACGGTCTCTGCACACCCGCAAACATCTCTTAAAGTGGCGACCTAAAAAATCTGGCACAGAAAGAGTTCCGGAACGCCGGTAGTCTGAATGAGATTTCTTTCTTTCCCGTGAGTTCTTTTCCCTTGAGTTCTTTTCCCGTGAGTTCTTTGTCCTGATTTGTATTTGCACCCTCGAATAGAAAAGTTGCTAGAAACAAAGTCAGTGGCCGAGCTCTGCGACCAGATCAAAATGACATGTCGTCACTTGTCACCACATATCCGTGCCATCATGACGACGTGACCTGACACAGACTGTGCCATCATGACGACGTGACCTGACACAGACTGTGCCATTATGACGACGTGACCTGACGCAGGCGGCACAGAGTCCCGTCACTTATCCCCACAGATCTTCCGTGCGGCCAAACTTGAACAGGAAGGCACTGCAGAAACACACAGAACAGAGCAACAAGTTGTAGTTTAGACTTAGTCAGAGAACAGAGCAACAAGTTGTAGTTTAGACTTAGTCAGAGAACATAGCAACAAGTTGTAGTTTAGATGTAGTCAGAGTTTTACTGCACTTGCAACACAAACAGGTCATATAAGTGTAGCAGATTACAGGTGTTACTAAACAGATACAAAGATTACAAGTGTTACTAAACACATACAAAGATTACAGGTGTTACTAAGCACATACAAAGATTACAGGTGTTACTAAACACATACAAAGATTACAGGTGTTACTAAACACATACAAAGATTACAGGTGTTACTAAGCACATACAAAGATTACAGGTGTTACTAAACACATACAAAGATTACAGGTGTTACTAAACACAGACAAAGATTACAGGTGTTACTAAACACATACAAAGATTACAGGTGTTACTAAACACATACAAAGATTACAGGTGTTACTAAACACATACAAAGATTACAGGTGTTACTAAACACATACAAAGATTACAGGTGTTACTAAACACATACAAACCTCAACTCTCACCCCAGTCTCACCCACCTCAACTCTCGTCCCAGCATCATCCACTCTCTCGCTCTCCCCCCATCATTCACCTACAACATATCTCATTACTACAGATTGATCTTGCAGTGGTACCTCATTACTCCAGTCTAACTGACCTCATTACTCCAGTCTAACTGTGGTACCTCATTGCTCCAGTCTAACTGACCTCATTACTCCAGTCTAACTGTGGTACCTCATTACTCCAGTCTAACTGACCTCATTACTCCAGTCTAACTGTGGTACCTCATTACTCCAGTCTAACTGACCTCATTACTCCAGTCTAACTGACCTCATTACTCCAGTCTAACTGTGGTACCTCATTACTCCAGTCTAACTGACCTCATTACTCCAGTCTAACTGTGGTACCTCATTACTCCAGTCTAACTGACCTCATTACTCCAGTCTAACTGACCTCATTACTCCAGTCTAACTGACCTCATTACTCCAGTCTAACTGACCTCATTACTCCAGTCTAACCGTGGTACCTCATTACTCCAGTCTAACTGACCTCATTACTCCAGTCTAACCGTGGTACCTCATTACTCCAGTCTAACTGACCTCATTACTCCAGTCTACTGACCTCATTACTCCAGTCTAACTGACCTCATTACTCCAGTCTAACTGTGGTACTTCATTACTCCAGTCTAACTGACCTCATTACTCCAGTCTAACTGCAAACAATTTTGTTGAAACTGCGAACTTTTGTAAACAACAGAGCCATAATCAGGGGAAGGAGTTTTTCCGTCCATCAATCTCACAAATACTAAACCTCAATACTAACTGCACAGTGTCTCATCAGTAACCCACCAAGGCATGCCACAGTGTCTCATCAGTAACCCACCAAGGCATGCCACAGTGTCTCATCAGTAACCCACCAAGGCATGCCACAGTGTCTCATCAGTAACCCACCAATGCCACAAAATCTACAGCTAAACAACAACCACTATGAGGGGGACCAACCTGAAGAAAATGAGAGCGTTTTGCAAGAACACGGCAATCCCGGGCCAGTCTGGCTGTACATCTGTGGCCAGGGAAAAAAACAACAAGAAACACATGAAGAGCTTAAGTTGAACCTGAGGCACATTGCATCTCAAAACAAAACATTTTTGCCTGTGTAAAAGTTAAGTACAGGCTTCACTCTTCAACCCAGTGATACTCGGTGACAGCGGAAGGTTTATTCCATTTTTCCAATAAAAAATTCCCTCTCCCTCTGGTCTCAAAAGAAAAAAGCTTGTCTTGTTGTCAACAGTTGGGGAATGAAAAAGGAGACGATGGTATTCCTTTCAAGTGACCACACATGGATACACAGAGGGAGGAAGCTTCTGGACACATCAACGGAACACGCAGCTGGAGTGAGTTCACACATGAAATATGGTGAGTAGAATACAACAATATACTGTGGGTAGGACATAACAATGTACTGTATCACAGAGCTCACATGGTGGGTAGGACATAACAATATACTGTATCACAGAGCTCACATGATGGGTAGGACATAACAAGATACTGTATCAGAGAGCTCACATGGTGGGTAGGACATAACAATATGCCGTATCACAATACTAAGCACCACTGGCAAAACACTCATAAATAAGTCAGTGTTCCTCCCATCTTCTCCAGACTCACATTCCACGACGTAGAAGCCAAACAGGATCCAGCTGGCAGCGATGAGAGCCCCGAAGGCCAGGAGAAAGCCTAGGAAGAGCCACACCCTCGCTCCTGCCAGGTAGGACAAACGGCACAAGTTAGCGTAACGCCGAGGCAGAGTTTTACGTCAACGATCAACAAAACAAGCACATTCGTCAAAAGCGTTGCAAACAACGGGTAACTGACTGCAGAAGAACAGAAAATGTTGCTATTTTTCCAGCACAACAAATAAGAGTGGGAGAAACAAAGAGACTTGTCTCACATAAACACAAATAGAGTGGGAGAAACAATGAGACTTGTCTCATATAAACACAAATAGAGTGGGGGAAACAAGGAGACTTGTCTCACATAAACACAAATAGAGTGGGAGAAACAAAGAGACTTGTCTCATATAAACACAAATAGAGTGGGAGAAACAAAGAGACTTGTCTCATATAAACACAAATAGAGTGGGAGAAACAAAGAGACTTGTCTCACATACACACAAACAAGAGTCAGAGAAACAAAGAGACTTGTCTCATATAAACACAAATAGAGTCAGAGAAACAAAGAGACTTGTCTCACATACACACAAACAAGAGTGGGAGAAACAAAGAGACTTGTCTCACATAAACACAAATAGAGTGATAGAAACAAAGAGACTTGTCTCATATAAACACAAATAGAGTGGGAGAAACAAAGAGACTTGTCTCACATACACACAAACAAGAGTCAGAGAAACAAAGAGACTTGTCTCATATAAACACAAATAGAGTCAGAGAAACAAAGAGACTTGTCTCACATACACACAAACAAGAGTGGGAGAAACAAAGAGACTTGTCTCACATAAACACAAATAGAGTGGGAGAAACAATGAGACTTGTCTCATATAAACACAAATAGAGTGGGGGAAACAAGGAGACTTGTCTCACATAAACACAAATAGAGTGGGAGAAACAAAGAGACTTGTCTCATATAAACACAAATAGAGTGGGAGAAACAAAGAGACTTGTCTCATATAAACACAAATAGAGTGGGGGAAACAAGGAGACTTGTCTCACATAAACACAAATAGAGTGGGAGAAACAAAGAGACTTGTCTCATATAAACACAAATAGAGTGGGAGAAACAAAGAGACTTGTCTCACATAAACACAAATAGAGTGGGAGAAACAAAGAGACTTGTCTCACATAAACACAAATAGAGTGGGAGAAACAAAGAGACTTGTCTCACATAAACACAAATAGAGTGGGAGAAACAAAGAGACTTGTCTCACATAAACACAAATAGAGTGGGAGAAACAAAGAGACTTGTCTCACATAAACACAAATAGAGTGGGAGAAACAAAGAGACGTGTCTCACATAAACACAAATAGAGTGGGAGAAACAAAGAGACTTGTCTCACATAAACACAAATAGAGTGGGAGAAACAAAGAGACTTGTCTCACATAAACACAAATAGAGTGGGAGAAACAAAGAGACTTGTCTCACATAAACACAAATAGAGTGGGAGAAACAAAGAGACTTGTCTCACATAAACACAAATAGAGTGGGAGAAACAAAGAGACTTGTCTCATATAAACACAAATAGAGTGGGAGAAACAAAGAGACTTGTCTCACATAAACACAAATAGAGTGGGAGAAACAAAGAGACTTGTCTCACATAAACACAAATAGAGTGGGAGAAACAAAGAGACTTGTCTCACATAAACACAAATAGAGTGGGAGAAACAAAGAGACTTGTCTCACATAAACACAAATAGAGTGGGAGAAACAAAGAGACTTGTCTCACATAAACACAAATAGAGTGGGAGAAACAAAGAGACTTGTCTCATATAAACACAAACAAGAGTCAGAGAAACAAAGAGACTTGTCTCACATAAACACTCTGCTCCAACACATCGCTATCGCAGAATCACAATGTTCTATCTGCCATTTTGGGTCATTTTGAGTTAGTAAGACCATGAGGTCAAAAACCAAATGTCCTATCTGCTCTGTCAAGATTGAAAGATTATTCAGTCTTTATCAAGATATTTTAAAAAGTTGCATTTGAAAAAGCTTGACAAGTTGTGAAATTCGAAATTTTCACGTCAAATTTCTCAAAACTAGGTACAGAGCAGAGAGAACTTTGTAGAGTTCTAAAGTAGCGAAGGGTCTTTGGCCAATAGCTAAATGTAGGACAAACTTACCAAAGACCAACACAAACAACCAAAGACCAACACAAACAACCAAAGACCAACACAAACAACCAAAGGTCAACACAAACAACCAAAGGTCAACACAAACAACCAAAGGTCAACACAAACAACCAAAGGTCAACACAAACAACCAAAGGTCAACACAAACAACTAAAGGTCAACACAAACAACCAAACATACCAAAGGTCAACACAAACAAGCAAACGTACCAGTCTGGCCAATACAGCCCGTGGTGTAAGCATCTCCCCTGATCTGTCCGTTTGACACTGAGTTAATCCTGAAGAGAAAAGAAAGAACTTGATAACTGTGCAGCAACATCCAATCATCTTTGAAAACACTTTCCTGTGTATCAAATAGAAATCTGATGAATGATAAATCCACAACCAACTTTGCCTTTCACGTTGCTGCTGACAGTCCACTATCAAAACCAATGTTCAAACAGCACTTTCCTGTGTATCAAACACGTCTGATTCTCACATTATGAGTCACAACGAGGTGGGATCAGGCGCTCGTCAAATTTTGGTCTCGTGGAGTTATTGGTATTGTTTAAAAGTTTCTTCATTTGCTGAACTTTCAATGAAACAAATACCCATCTATCTTGAATAGAAGTCAAGACAAATACCCATCTATCTTGAATAGAAGTCAAGACAAATACCCATCTATCTTGAATAGAAGTCAAGACAAATACCCATCTATCTTGAATAGAAGTCAAGACAAATACCCATCTACCTTGAATAGAAGTCAAGATAACTGCAATTGAAGGAGGTGGGGGTCGCCTGGTTTCAGTGGCAAAATTATCGAGAAAATGGTCCCCAAAGTTCGGTAACTTCAACAGCTAGAAAGTCGTTGAAAACAGAAAAATTACATCTTCTGTGCCTTACATAAACGTTTTTCAGTCAAATGTACATGTTTAAGTGTTCTATATGGACACAGAACGTGTTGAGAAAAAAAACAAAAATTCAATAACAATTGCAAAACTGGCGGGAAAATGCCCATGTCTTCCATTTCATTATTCTGACCAGCGCCTGATTACACCAGGATGCCTCACTTTACAGAAACATGTGTTTGTCTTTGTGTTGTTATAACAGAAACATGTGTTTGTCTTTGTGTTGTTATAACAGAAACATGTGTTTGTCTTTGTGTTGTTATAACAGAAACATGTGTTTGTCTTTGTGTTGTTATAACAGAAACATGTGTTTGTCTTTGTGTTGTTATAACAGAAACATGTGTTTGTCTTTGTGTTGTTATAACAGAAACATGTGTTTGTCTTTGTGTTGTAACAGAAACATGTGTTTGTCTTTGTGTTATTATAACAGAAACATGTGTTTGTCTTTGTGTTATTACAGAAACATGTGTTTTTCTTTGGTGACAGATGACCGTCTTGGACAGGTGGCTGAAAGAACAGGTTCGACTGTATCAAATATAGGCCTATGGTCTCTAGGACCGAAATCAGAGGATATAAGAAATGAAAACTCACATAAAAAACGCTACTGTTAACACCACCCCTGGAGTCTGATAGGCGTGGTTGAATTGGCCCCCGTCTGGGTACAGAGCAGCTGCGTCAATCATGATCCACCATCCTGAGAAAAACTTTGGGGGAGGGAGGGGGAGGGGAGGGGGGAGGGGTGCACATGGGGGCAGGGTTCAGGAGCGGCAGTTTTGTATTTCCTATTATAGCACTCTTAGAAGGAAATACTGACCTAATCGAAGGTAGCGAGACCCAAAACTCTCTGGGGGCCTAGAGGACCTGTGGTTAACAGCTGCCATCATACTAGATACTAGAGACTGGGATGTTTATATCTACAGATGAACAAGAAGAAGATATTGTAGCACTTAGCAGCTATCCTGAGTTTGGGCAGGCGGGAAGAGGGAAAGTCCGTTATTTTGCGCTCAGATTTGTCAAAACTTCTCATTTTAGGACTGTTAGGATGAAATCCTTACATCACTTTATCTTATTTAGACAAGGACAAAGAAACAAGGAATGTCCTTGGTGAAAGTTACGACACACACAAATATATAATAAACCAATCAATTGTACTTCACCACGGTTAACTTTCCAAGTAGTACAATGGGAAAAAGTTCACAGTGAACGCAACATGGGCAGCAGATAGATGCCAGTCTCTGTGAGGAATAACCACAAGAGAGCCTGTCACAACAGTTACAAATTGTCAAAGAGTGAAAGAAATCATGAAATAAAAGCAAATTTGTGTGAGTGTGTTTTCATTGAGTGAGAGAGAGAGAGAGTGAGAGAGACAGAGAGATAGAGGGAAGGAGAGAGAGAGAGAGAGAGAAAGAGAGAGAGACAGAGAGAGAAAGAGAGAGAGGGAAGGAGAGAGAGAGAGAGAGAGAGAGAGAGAGAGAGAGAGAGAGAGAGAGAGAGTTAAAACTAGTTTTTTTAATTTTCTGAAAGTAAAATAACTGACCAACACATGCTACTTACTAGGACTTTTAAATATTATCAAAGAAAACAGAAAGATGAAATTCACTGAGACCGACATACGTATCTCTACAAGTCGATCAGAAATGGTTTTGTAGCAGTTACCAGAACTCCGGAGGCTATGGCCACAATCAAGTTCCGTCTGTCTCCCAGCTCGATGCATTCACATCGCGGCCAGTGGCAGTTGTCTAAGAAACCCGACATTGTTGGCACCTCTTGAAACTTTTGTCTTGTACAGGTCTGAGACAAAAACAACCATTGTATATATGTACATGAAAACAGCTATTGCTGCTGCTGGAAAGGAATATATTGACATGTGAGTATACAAGTGCGAGTTGTGGGAAAAAAATCATTATATAAATCGTTAACCATAGGAGTGGCATTGAGGTGAAGTCAGGTGCTATCAAAGTGATGTCCAAGAAAGCCATATTTTCATCAAATTTTATTTTTGACTCAACACCTTTCATCATTGTAGAAACATATTTCTTGGAGGATTTTAGTTGAAAAACATTGATCTTGTATCTTATGAAAGGCACAAAAAAATGTAAATTTGCATTTTCCCAGGACAATAAAGCTTTGGAAGTCCGTAAACTTTGGTGGCCATTGTTTGGCTGATTTGACCTCTGGCACCAGTTGCCCCTCTCTTCATTAAAAGTCGATATATTTCCGCTGTTATTCAAGATAGATGAGTAGAATTTTTGGGGGCAAAACCAAAACAGACAAACAAGATTTATGACGATACCAATAGCTCTATGACCCAAAATTGAAGAGCACCAAATTCCACCCTGTTGTAACAATACATCCTTGTTAGAAAAGTACAAATGTGTCATACCAAAAAAATATATATATAATTTATCAATACTCAACATCACAGATATATCGTCCATGTATTTGAGAAAATTGTTGCCAGTACAAAGAATTATAATCTCAAATACATGGACGGTTTGTTGAACAGCTCGTCTCGAAAAACCTAATAAAATTTTTTTCTCACAAATGTCTCGAATTCTGATTATCTTGTCATGTGCACATGATGGAAAACAACACACCCGTCGTTATCGAGAGTAGAAGATCTATCCAAGTCACATGAGTCCAGCAGACTTGTCACCCCCATCTCCCCCCCCCCCCTCCAACAGCACGAGACACACTGCTGTTTTTGAAAAGCACAATCACACATGATTACCTGTAGTGTGCTTTAACTCTTTTTATCCTGGCTACGAGTCACTCATGTCGTAACGAGAACCTGGCCGGGCTATGATATGAGTAACGTAAACTCAGACCAGCTATACGTTCACGTATTAGATTCTGCTTATAATTCAAAATATAGCTCTGTCTGAATGTTTCAGCTTTCCAATGAACAACGATTTCTTTGTTTTTTAAATGGGTGTAGAAGCTTGAAAATAGTCTCGAAAACGCACATATTCACGACCTAGTACTTCAAGAAGAGGCGCTGGGTTGTGAGAGTGAAGTAGACTATTCTGATGAAAGAGACTCTGAATCAAGTGTCGTAAATTCCGTTAAGAATAATAACGAACAGGAGTTAAACTCATCTAGATCTAATAGTGATTCAGATCATAGCGAAGGTACCAGGGTAGATCTGTATATCCAAGGGGACTTCATGGGTGTGGCAATCAGGATCAAGTAGGATAGGTTGAATATTTCAAAATCTGTGCAATTGGGGTAATTCCTAACCACATACATATTCAAAAACTACATTAAATTTCTAACATAACTGCCAGAAATACAGCACTTTGAAATATAAAAGTTATTAATAAACAAGCTGAATTCCAGTATAAATGTGGCGGCCCCCGGACGGGTAAAGAGAGTTTTTGAGTTACAGTACAACTAGATGTACCTTGAATCTGGTCACATAAGGATGGATGCGCACATATTCACGACCTAGTACTTCAAGAAGAGGCGCTGGGTTGTGAGAGTGAAGTAGACTATTCTGATGAAAGAGACTCTGAATCAAGTGTCGTAAATTCCGTTAAGAATAATAATGAACAGGAGTTAAACTCATCTAGATCTAACAGTGATTCAGATCATAGCGAAGGTACCAGGGTAGATCTGTATATATATCCAAGGGGACTTCATGGGTGTGGCAATCAGGATCAAGTAGGATAGGTTGAATATTTCAAAATCTGTGCAATTGGGGTAATTCCTAACCACACACATTCAAAAACTACATTAAATTTCTAACATAACTGCCAGAAATACAGTACTTGGAAATATAAAAGTTATTAATAAACAAGCTGAATTCCAGTATAAATGTGGCGGCCCCCGGATGGGTAAAGAGAGTTTTTGAGTTACAGTACAACTAGATCACATGCCGTTAAACTTAGAAATGACGCATCTTTCTGATTGGCTGCTAATTTTAGTAATGTAATGTCATCACTTCCTGGGATACCCACATGGAACGACGTGTTTTCGGTAACATTTCGGGTTTTCTAGCCTAGATCTAGATCTAGATCTAGAATCTAGATCTAGATTCTAGATTAGACCTAGATCTAGATCTATTAGGCCTACCTGGACATGATGGAAGACCGCACGAAAATTGCCGTAAAGACGCAGGAGGACTAGATAATATCTAGTTCTAGATCTAGATCTAGATATCTAAATTTAGATCTACCAACCCCCCCCCCCCCTCCTGCATGTTTAATCACTAATACATTTTAAAAAATAAACAACAACTTCAAAGTCAAAGTAACTCTACAAATTAGGCCTATAATTTATGGAACTGTTGGTCAGTCGGGAGGAGGAAAAGAGAAAGAAAAACTGTCCGGGACCCGAATCGAACCGCTCCAAAAGTCATTGCTCGACATCAAACGCAGACGCGCTATCAAATCAGCTATCAGAACTTCCGAAAAATGGTGTAGATTAAGCATAATATATACATAGACACTTCCATCTTTGGTGCCGTGCGGTTGTCTATACTTAGATGTAGTCACGTGATCGGAGGGGTATCCTGGTCTGACGTCAAACAAGATGGGCGCCTTACCTAAAAATAGTTTGCATCATTTCTACTTTTAATCGCATGTAACTAGATCTACCTTGAATCTGGTCACATAAGGATGGATGCTGAGTGGTGGGTTCAGATCAAAGACAGACAGTAGACAGTGTGACGTGTGAACAGTGTGGCGATGCTGGGTGGTGTGTTGAGATCACCCTTGCCTCTTCTTCTGAGTCTTCTCAGGTTTTCTGTGAGTATGGTCACTTTAAATCAGTTTGGTTTGACTTTCACATCGACAACTTATCTAGATATATCTAGAATCTAGAATCTAGATCTAGGATCTAGATCTAGATCTAGATCTACATTACTGTCAGTGTCGGGACTGTCATTCATATTGACTCTATATATTTACTCGTTCAGTGTTTGCTGACGCCTTTTATAAGTCTGAAACAACTGATTAAAATATATACCGGAGACGGAGAACTCACCACAGCAATAGTCACAGTCACAAAGCTGTTTACATTATCGATCAACAGTAGCCTATGCGTAGGTGAACTTCCGCTAGAGACTACACAAGAATCTATGACGTTCCACAAGTTTCTATTATATTCTATTATTAGAAATCGGTATTTTCCGTTTGCCTACCCACAATTCCCCCATTGCATTCTTTAGCAACAAGATGGCCGCCAACAGTCAGCCGGACTACGACAAACCCTCAGAAGAAGGAGAAGAGCGTGTAAAAATAATATGCCTTGGTGACAGTGCTGTCGGCAAGTCCAAGTACGTAAAGCTTCTAAATCTAGATCTAGATCTATATCAGATTGATTGCAATAGATAATTAAACATATCACTTTATGCTGTAGATTAACAAAGATTTATTGTTTAAAAAGACATGTTTTCGACAACTTGCACTACTGAACTGTGTTCAACTTACACTTGTCTTAGACTTAGAATCACACTAGATCTAATACTATTAGTTGACTTGTATTAGCCTTTAGATTAACCGCTGTTTACTCCGTGAGTCTCAAAAGTTGAAAAATGTTACTTTTTTACTCAATTGTTAGGGCTAGATCTAGATCTAGACTAGATCTAGATCTAGATAATCTAGATTAGTTTCTAAATTATAATAATTCTGCTCCTTAGCTCAGTGAGTCAGTTTGTGAGATTCTAAAACATTTTAGGCCTAGTCTAGAACTAGATCTAGATAAAGATCTTTAATATGACTTAGCCTAGAATTAGGTATATCTAGATCTAGTTGCAAAGGAAAAGATTTTGGATGAATTTTTCTCTCTTATTTTTCTGTTTTTCAGACTTGTGGAACGCTTTCTCATGGATGGATAGTATCCTTTAACACTTTTTAATGTGTGACAGTTCGAGTCTACTACTCATATCTATGACTTATAATCATAATGCTCTCATTCTCTCTCTCTCTCTCTCTCTCTCTCTCTCTCTCTCTCTCTCTCTCTCTCTCTCTCTCTCTCTCTCTTCTTTCTTTCTGTCACTATCTCCCTGTCTCCCTCACTCCGTCCCTCTCTCTCTCCCTCCCTCCCTCCCTCTTTCTCTCTATCTCTCTCTCTCTTTCCTCTCCCCCCCTCTCCCCTCCGCCCCCCTCTTCGTTTCTCTAACTGTTGTTTCCCTTTTGTTCCTCTCCGGTGTGGGTGCCCATGCACAAAAGCTCTAGCATTTTGTTACTGTTGATTGAACCATTTCTTTCCCCGTACTTTCCCTTCCCCTTTCTCCACTTGTTTGTTGAAAAGATAATGACAGCGCCTAAAGCTCTTGCTGAACACAAAATTTTGTACCCTCCAGATGTCTCTATGGAATTGAAAAGTTTGGTTGACTTTGTTCTTAACCTCCTCCTAGCAAACCTCAGCAACTGTCTACGTTTGCTCTGACTTTGTTCAACCACAAGGCCGTGATTGACGGCAAAACTGTTTCAGTCGGTGAGTGTGTTGATAGTGGGAGCTTGTAAGAAAGTTGTTATTTATAATGTTTAGTAAAAAAATATGTGCTGTTACGGCTCTTTAGCCGGAGCAGTTAATGACTAAAGGCAGAAGAGGCAACTGAAGTGCTCTTACTAGTGAAGTTTGAGTGTCTTTTTAAATAAAAAATTGTTTTTATGAAATCCTTTGGTTCACACTGTACTCAGTGGCGGTGGGTAGTGAAGGGCTTACGGGCTTGAGCCCCTCACCCCCACCCCGTCCCCGCCCCAACTCTATCCCTTAGTTAATGAAAGTTTCTTAAATAACGAAATAGGCAGTTGAAACCCAAGACTCTAAAAAAAATAACACTGCACAGAGGGCTCACGCTCTCCCAGCCCTGACAATGGGGTGAAAGTTTACGACACACTTTCCCCCAGTGACACAGATACCTATGCGCCCATTGGGCCTTTGTTAGGCGCGTTCTATTTTTTGCAACAACACGACCCAATCCACCTCATAGACGGTATGTGTTTGGAGTGCTGTGTGTTTGTGCCGCTGAGATTTAACAGTTATTAATTACATCAAACCACTTTTGAGGCAACGTTTTCTTCAGATAAAAATTAGAGAAATTTGGAGGTAAAAAGGCTTCGACCCCACCATCCAGAAGCTTCAATTTAAGTAAGAACAAAGATAAGGAAGACAAAGGTGACTCTTCTCGTTTGAATGATACTCAAAATGCCGTGGCTTGCCGTGAGAATAGCAAAATCATCACTGTTTTGTTCTTATTTCTTGCTTTTTGGTGGTAAAAAAGTGGAAGAAACCTAAGCCCCACCCAAATCTTGGTCCACCCACCGCCACTGACTGTACTGTATTTGTTGCCTGGGATGAAAATACTCTGATGATTGGACAGTTTAAACTTGGGACTCTGTGATCTTTGTTGCTTTCTCTGCTAATTTGCATTTATTTCTTCTCTGTCTGTTCATTGAAAAAGGGCATACCACAATATTAGCTCCGAAAAATGCTTTTATTTGCAGAAAATCTTTGCACATTGCAGACTGTGTAGGACAGAAACGGAAGCTGACCACTGTGTGTGTGTGTGTGTGTGTGTGTGAGATACAACTTTTTTCCCATTCCCCCACGGGTTGTTTATTGACACTCTAGTGCGATCTACTCCATGTCCAAGATTCCCTTCAGTATCGTCCTATTCTATTTCTGGTGAGACGTATGCTCTGTTCTTGTGTTGAGTCTCCATACACCATTTCTTCTCAACTGTTTTCAATTCCTCAGACTTTTGGGACACGGCCGGTCAAGAACGGTTCAACAGCATGCACCCGTCGTACTACCACCAGGCTCACGCCTGTATCTTGGTGAGTGCTGCAGGGTTTGACAATAAGTTTATGTTCTTTGCCTAAGATCAGCTGTGATAACATTGTTTATCATGGACCTGCTAAGTACTCTGATAAAATCAGAGCCCTCCGATTGTTTTGTTGTCCTTTGAAGAGCCCTGATCAGTTTTGCATAAAAGCATTTTATTTTCTTCTAAAATTC